CAGTCAAAACCGCATTTGCAACATGTGTCATTAAAATATTATGTTACATGAAACTTATTTGCAACAAACATAAGTTGCAAAGAGACTCCACCCTCTGCGCTTTTTAGGTACAATGAAGTTTTATACGCGATGTGTTGTCCATAATTTAGACCTTCATTAGTCACACTAAGGTTGTAGATACTCGCTGAGAAACAAATGGTGTTGCTTGGGTAGCTCACTGTGCTCGTGTACCGGTCACCATTTTTGCGGAATTGTTGTCATGCATCTTAAAACGTGTCCTTCCCATTATACCCTTCCAGTTTTAGCAACTTTCTGAATACTGGGCTCGCCATAAAGTAACACAAGCTCGTGGTTTAATCTTATCCATCCTATGACGTTTCTATATACTTCGCCAAAGATGGTCCTAAGCATGCGTCGTTTAAAATCCTCCAGTACCTTCCGATGCTCATGGTGGATTGTCCACGTCTCGTGCTGGAACTACCGGTATTATCAGCGTCTAGTACATGTATTCTTATTATTGGAGTAAATTTTACCTGGAAAATTGTACTTGAATCGTTTTGTATGACCGAGATAATGCAAAATATCCCAATTTGCTTAAAGGATGGTGAAAATTTGATGTATTAAAGCATAATTATCAACTAAACTTTACTCAGGAGACCACAAAAAGTCAAAATATGGTCTTTCATATTGTTATGTCCTTGAAACTCGTATTATTGATACAATAATGAAAAACTTGTTACACACTAAGATTATTTTACCGAAATCTGTGAAATTTGACCGAAATCTCAACAGCTCAACAGCAACAGTTCGGTAAACGTTCAGCTGTTGAGTATTCGGTAAAATTTCACAGAATTCGGTTAAATAATCTTAGTGTGTATGCTTTAAAATTGAATAATCAAATTAAGATTGACTGTATCGGATTTTGAACTTTCTCAATATTATGAGTTGTAAAAATTTCCTTAGCAGCGCGTTTGCCACTGAACCATTGTAGTAACTTGCATACTACTTATTTCAGTCTCAATCAAGTAGCAGCAACTTATTGTGACAAAAGTGTGCTGCTTGGGTTGCACCACATAGAAATATAAACAAATCATAACATAATTTCGTTGGCTACTGTGATTTTCTATTGATTTTTGGTTATTGGGGGAAATAGTCAATTTGAAAAACCACTTAAGCAAGAGGTATATCGATAAAGCACTTTCAAATGAGTAGGATCCTTTCTTACAAAAACTCTCCAACAGTAGCAACCCACATGCTTAGGTTTGGCAGCATGCGAGCGTCATCCTGCAAATATACCAAATTTATAAAGAGAGCGGTATCTAAAAAAAACGTTTCGTGTATCAAGTAAATCATGCACGTTAACTCAGGGAACCAGAAGAAAATCAAATATGGTAAGACATTTCTGACTCATAACCTGATCTGGTTTCCGTCCTCTTCAGCACAACCCGCACTTTACTTTTCTTTTTCGAACGAATATGAACCCAAAAATAGAGTTATTCTACTATAGATGACTTCCAAAAAATTTATCCTTTTTATACATACCGCTTGATTTGACAAAGAGGCACACATTTTTGAGATATCGTTGGAAATCTAACATTGCTTCTTATTTCCGAATTTATTTTACACAGAGAAACAAAAATTTAATTTTACATCCTAGAGGCTGCACTTCAATCATGCCAAAAATCTCATGTAATTTTGATAACCACAAAAATAAACAAATGCAGTAAAAGCAACGTAATGTCAGTTCATGGTGTTATATTTCTTGCCAAAAAGGACAAAATTATCAGTAATACGGTGCATGAACTGACATTACGCTGCTTTTACTGCATTTGTTTATATTTTTTGTGGCCTTTAAAATTACATGAGATTTTTGACATGATTGAAGTGCATCCTCTTGGATGCAATATTAATACTTTTTTTTTGCTGTGTACCACATGGTACCGTAAAGGTTCAAAATCCAAACACTTAGTCCACAAATCACGTTCAAAATGAGTTATTTCTGTCTATCATTCTTAAAATAGCACACATATTTGATCATGTTCTTTATGTTGCAAAGTTGAAGTAATGATTAATTGAAAATGTAAATTCTGGATTATCAGTTCGTCTGGTATTTGCTACATTACGGTATCAGCGTGATATTTGTCATCAAATTATTTCACATTGCTCTGAACTTATTGTGTTCTGTGTATCGTTTAAGATCAATGGTAAATTTTAAAAGCAATATATTTTGTAATAAATCTGACGCAGCAATGTGTCAGCCACATTATTGTAAATAATAATTGCTTTGAATATAAAAATATTGTAGCGTACCTGTGATAATTGTTATGAATTTTTCAAATATCACTGCACTCATAATTATACATTTACGAAATGATTGACCCATTCCATCGCGGGTGACAAAGCCAACCATCCCCTAACATTTCAAGCTCCTAATTTCCAGTTGTTCCCGGTGTTGACTGCAGCTGCGAATAACGTACGATGAATAATGGATTATCAACAACAGTGCAGTGAAAACCACAACATAACGTTATAAACCGAGGAAGGGAATAGCTTTGGCTTTCAATTGTACTGGTAAACTATTTTCAAACAGTAAACGTGCTTGCAAACGGAAAACCATCCCACGTGAAAGGCCTAATTTTCCACTAAGCGTTGGGTGATTTATTACGCACCGATTAAGTTGAGCATCTTGAAGCATTTTGCGACATGATTTACGTATTGTTTGATTGCAAATCTTTTGTGGTTAAATGTCATTAGGAATCGTCCACGCACATTAATTCATAGGCCTGATGTAAAACGATACGAGAATGATGAGCTCTTGTTGCGTAATAAGCTGAGTTTGTAATAGTTAAAAGTAGTATGTAAGATCTTATGGTAAGTAGGTATACCCGAGCAAAGTAAAATAACAATCCAATATCATCTAGATAACAAATCTTGTTATTCCAGATATCACTTTGATTTCAGTTGTTACCGCATTACTTATTTAGTTGTCAACATTAGGAGTGACCCACACATTATGTCACGCTCTAAGGGGTGAGAAGGTGTTAGATTTTGTAATAAGCAATGCATTAGGTATAGGAAAAACGGAACGAAAGGGAGGAGGATGGGTTAGTTTTTCCTCAATTTAGAGTGACATGAACAATTATCCGTTGTTCTCATGAAAAAAAAGTTCAAAACATGATCCGCATGCTAGCAAAATGTTCTTTACCCCGCTAATCATATTTCAGTTATCAGCGTAAGGCTGTTATATCAAATCGAAAACATAATTTTAAATCGGCTGAAAAAAATTTGCATAGAATTTGTTATCAAGAAGTTTTCAATGATAACAAAATTCGTTATTTTTTTCGAGGGTGGTATCACATTTAAATCGCTAGATGCTCGAAAAATATCACACTAGCAAATCAATCTACGAAAAATCTTCTTTTAGTTCTCGCATCTACTTTAGACCGGCCCACATTTATAGGGGGAAATTTTCACCATTTTTTTCTATGGGCCAACCCTCAGATTTGTACCATTAGGTGAGAAAACCACTCTGTGAAAATTTCAGCTCGTTCGGATCTAACACGAGCTGGCGCTTTTGATTTAAAATTTATATGGGGATATTGGTTGAAATGTATGGAGAAATAACATTTCTTCACTCTTTCGTACTAGAACTGGTTCAGCAAACTCGATTAAGCTCAAAATTTCAGCACACGTAGCTATACGTTAACTATAAGGAACAACTTTCCTGAATAAAGCATCATGATTCAAGTTAGTATAATGGAGATATTTATTCTTGAATTTATATGTGCATTTTGTTCGTACATTGCAACAAAATACAGGCAGCTTATGCAACGTATCAACTAGATTACAACTAAAAAAATAAAAGTTCATATTTTCCACAGGCCAACATTCTGACTCGTGTCAGTAGGTGAGACAACCACTCTTTGAATGTTTCAGCTCTTTTTGACGTTACATGGGCTGGCGCTTTTTGTTTAATGTTCATACAGGAGATTTGGTTGAAATTTTCATTTACAAAATGCTCATATACATTCAAAAGCGAATATCTCAATAAAACTAACTGAATTAATGATGCAATCTTCAGCAAGACTTTTTTTTATGATCGATGGAGTGTATTTTAACCAAATTTCCCAGACAAAATTCAAACTAAAAGCGCTAGCTCATCTTAGAACCAAATGTGCTGAAACAATCAGATAATAGAACTGGTGGAGGATCGACTGTATCGTTGAATATTTTATTGAACGGCTACGCAGTCTTTGTTAAATTGAACGAGTTTTTAATTACCCGACGTTTCGACACGGGGATTGTGTCTTCTTCAGGGGGAAAATAGTTTTTTTCGTTATTTGACAAAACATAAGACAAAAAACGAAAAAAATATTTTCCCCCTGAAGAAGACACAATCCCCGTGTCGAAACGTCGGGTAAATAAAAACTCGTTCAATTTAACAAAGACTGCGTAGCCGTTCAATAAAATAAAATAAACTTTCAGATAATGGTTTTCTCACCCAAAGGCACAAATCTAGAGGTTGACCCGTGGAAAACTAGAACTTTTATTTTTATGGGCCAGTCTAATCTACTACCTTTTTGCAGGAATTTTTCAGAACCTTCATCAATCGTCTTTCTATCTACTTAGTGTGTGCGTAGCTACCACAGCATAACAAAATCTTTCCTGCATCACAGAAAGAGTTGATTTTATTTTAAAAAGCTTACTAGGAATTTGATAACTGCTAATAATAAGATTATTGAAATAAAGATGCGCTAAATCATAATCATGATTTCAGGAGCAATATGTTCATCTGAAATTTTGGTATTTGCTGTTAGCTATAGTTTCAACTGATCCAATTTGACTGACAACTACACTGAGTGGATAAAGATTAAAATAATATCAATTCATTTATTATTTTTTCTTGTGGGCATTTTGAAAGATAGTAAGCAAACGAAAAACATCTCTATTATTACATCTCTTATATAACTGAGTTAAAAATACGAAATTGTTCATGTTACCTATAATTTCCGATGATACTGTCAGTGGCACCGCGTAAAGACAACACAACAATGTTAATAATACCGATCTTAATGTTGCACTGTTCATTACTTCCTCACTACACGTGCTTCTTTGCCGGATCTGTAGCATTTCGTTATTTCCTAATTCCTGGTCGTTGCTTTTCCCGTTATAGTTCACACTTGCCACAAACATGTACGTTTAGTCGACTCTGTTCACCACTTCAGACAAACTCACTCGGCATCCGTTCAACCGTATTATATGCTATAATGCTGTGTAAAGAATAAAATTAAATAGTTTCACCCTGTTTCATCCTTCTCATTTACATGTGTTCAACTTTTCCACTGCTTCACACTTTTACTTTCACTCCCGGGAGGTTCCGTCGCTATCAGTGGCACATGTTCTATATATAAGGCTATAGTTTGATGCTTGTAAAGCTGGTTTTTTGGTTACTTCAGCTGCTTCCGTACATTGAACAATTAAGAATAAGTTTTCTTCGGTTTTCAGTTTTCAAGTGACACGATTCGTGATTGGCATTTTGTATCCAAAACTTCTGTTTTATGAGATAAGACGATAAATTGATCCTGTAGTAAATACTCTTTGTTTTTCTTGCAGTGTGATTCGTTACACCTATTATGCAACGTAATGATTAGACTGACTTAAAAAACAATGTGAGAAACCGCTCTCTGAAAGTTTCAAACCAAAAACAAAAATTCTTTATACTCGATTAATTTAGCCCTGAGCTACTTTTTTAAATACTGCATCATGCATTCCAGTTGGTTTGATTGAAGTATTCACTATGAGCTGAGACTTTAGGAGAGTAACTTCTTAACCTAAAGGCTAAATTTGGTCGTTATAATCCCTGTGAAAAAAAACTCCCATACATTCAACTGGGAAACGTAAGATTCTATTGCTGTTTTGCATGAAAATTATCCAGAATTTGATATATTTCGCAGTAATAACAGATTCTGTAATGAGCTCACCGAAAGGCTTTTAAAATAATTGCCTGGCATTTCCACTTCTTCTATTGCTTATCACATGTTAGCTAATTGCGTGTTCTCAACTTACTGTTTAAGATGCACTTTCACAGTTATTAATTGAATGCTTTCGATGCCTGTACCATTTTTGAATTAGTATAATTGTTTGGCAAAAACAATCATACTTTATACCCAGGAAAGTCGAGAAATTTTTCAACGCAAAAAATTCCTAAACTGGACCGGGAATCGAACCAGCCGCCTCCAGCATGGTTCTGTTTTGTAGTTGGGCCATTACCGACTGAGCTAAGGGAGACCGCGTAATATTTATGTCAGCTTATTATTCGAACAAAGCTTGTTTCCTCAAACGCATTGCGTCTAGAAAATCCTCTCGTAAAGGTATTATACAAAAATATGTATTCTGTAAAACTTGCTTGTCCCAATAAAACGGGTCAATTATTCAGGTTGAAATCTTTAATACATTTTATGAAATTATTCCTCCAGGGCCCATTGTCACCTAGAGGTGACACTCGTTTTCTTTTGTCTGTAAAAATCAAATTGTTATTCGATTTCGATGACACTCTGTCGCTCCTCACTAACATTAGTATTGATGCGTTGTTTTTATAACCTGTTAATCGTCGGGGTATTACTGCACAGTTAATGTACGCTGAAAGACTGCAATTAAGCATTATGAATACATGTATTGAAACTTAGAAACGTATTATATGTATGAATACTTGAATCAGTTGACAATTATGAAGTAGTATGAACTATGAAGTTTAGTCAACCATTATATGTACTTGATAATGGTGACATAATTCACTAGGCGTGTGCAAGATACCTGAGTGACTGAGAATGTTTTTTATCATAACCAAAAAAAAAAAACTAATCAAAAGACATACTAAAATTGTTTTCGATTGCATATAAAATTTAAAAGACAATTTAATAAACAACAATTTGTTCACAAATTTTCTAAGGATAAAGTTTAGCTAACAGGAAATAATTCGTCTATGGCAGACATGAACTAAAATGACCTCCAAAAAGTATCAATCAACTTTTAGTGGATAGGCCAAAGGCTCTTTAAATGTATTTCTTCAAACATTCAATTTCAAACAGAAAATGAAAAATTGGAAATAGAAGGACACAATACTCCATCGATTCCCAAGCCACGTTGGCCTACGTTCCAGTTCTGTACAAAGGAGCACATTCAATAGAACCAGACGCATCATTTGCATACGCATTTCAAAGCAGCATACGTACTTCAATGTTTATCTTCGCTCCCGTGACGTACCTAATAGCACTGACACTTCTATCAGTAGAGATGTATCCTGAGGCAATTTCAATCAGTCCATAGACAGACAGATCAAGTGCATCTGACGGTTATTCATTCTTACCATTTGATTGATCCTGAGATAAATCGTACGCACTTTCGGTGTTGAAAATTAAATGTGGAGTCCGTAAATGACGATACTTTTATTCGCAACAGCTCCAAATTTTAATATTAAGTACTTGATTTTATAAAAACTATGACTTCACTGTCTCTTGAAACACTAGGATTATTGGTCCTTCCCCTATGTCAATGAATATTTACTCGGAATCAGATAGAACACATCCTATAATCCGCGATATGATACCACGTTCTTATTTGAAACGGTGACACAATCCCAATGAAACAAATAACAGGGCATGAAAACAAGGCGTGAATCATCGTTTCCAGAGTATAACGTATTCAGGCTTCTCATAGGAATCGTTCATGTCAAGACAGAATGTATTAAACAAAAACATAAACATAAAAGTAATCAGATGTGATACGCTTCTATCCTATCGATGCAACGCGTTGATAGCATGATATGATTTGAATCTGGCTCCTTGCTATTCAAGTGAAGAAGTTTGTGTTCATTAGGACAATCATATAGCAAGAAGTATTTGTGAATAAGCCTTATAGGGTTACGGTATGTAAACTAATAAATCTTTTATCAGCAATAAATCATTATTTAAATGCAACAAAAAGTTCTCTGCTCACTTGAAATTGTGATCCGCAAACGAATCACATACATGTACGGTAAACCGAGGCAAATGAAAATGCAGGGTGAGTGTGAATCGCTGACAAATCATTTTGGCAACAATTTCTAGTGTCAGAAAATTAAATGTATAATGCCAACAACAAACTAATAATGGTCCATTTATAAATGACGTAGTATATTTTTAACTAATTTAACCCATCACCCCCCCCCTCCCCCCTTTCCCGCTCCTCTTAGTGTATTTAGCTATATATTTCTTCAATGTTCTAGCCATAATTTTTAACCACACTACACAGGGGTTCAAACTTTCCAAAAACGAGCTTTTTTTTTATTTGAGGTGTATAAACGCTAGTTTTAAAGATTGTTTTTTTTTTTAGGCTCTTCGTAAGCTTTCTTCTGAAGTTTGTATAACATTGATCAATCCACATAGAATGGAAATTGTGAAAATCCAATGTTCTAAACTTGCTTATAAGCAGGGTTGCTTCCACTCACTTGCTATAAAAAATGATTTACGGAATTTTGAAATCATTAGATGTTATAATATAAATACGTACTTGTTAGATACAGGAAGATATTGAAATGCAACGTATTTTTATTGAACGAACATGGTTTCCATTCCAGGCGGTTGGTCTCTACAAATCTCGATTTGCGTGCAACACTGACTGGGTGTATCCTATGGCTTACCTTCCCTACTAACATAATTCCTAAATTCCCGAGACATTTATGAGGGGTCATAGAGTTCTCTGCATCTCTCTTAAGTAATTGTTGGACTAACATACCTTTCCTATCCCTACCAGTTGTAAGGACGTGGACAGGACAATCCTTAACTGTTGGAGCGAGATATGTCTTATATGGGCGATAATAATTATTTCCTACTTACTATCTGTCCAGTAATAGATATCCGTACAGCTCTTAATAGTTTTGAATTCGTACCACCTACGATATTGTGCAACTTGTTCGATGCTAATGCTAATGCAATATGGAACCAGGAGAACATTGGTCTTATTTCTTGGTTTTAGTTGTATCTTACCAATGTAGAGCTTTGTGTAAAAATTGGTTTAGATCAATCGGACTATTTTACAAACAACTCACGTGCTCCTCAAGGTAGCAACTTGAGATCGTTGCTATTCACACTATACAATAACGAGATCGGATTGGTACTTCAAACCGGTTGCAGATCAAAGTTGCACCGTTTGAAAAATTCATGTAAATTTCTGCGAGATGTAGCGCACATAAAATTAACGCTAGATTTGGCATAATTTTCGCGATAATTCGTGTAAAATTAAGCGCAATATCGCTTAATTTAGCAATATTGTATGCAAGCTTGTAAACGATTTCGTTGTTTATACCAACTGTAGCTCAAAATTAAACGAAGGGAGATTTTACGCTATAATTCTAATTCAGATTTTTTTCTGTATAGTCAAAAGCAAACTTCTTTACCTAACTCGTACAATGTACGATTCCGTTTTGACATTCATGGCTCATTACTTCTACATCATTACCAAATCCAACAGGCAACTCAGTTTCATCATCAAGATTTCCGACGAGTTCTGTGAGCCTATTTGTCTATATGTTTTATATAGCTGTCTAGTACGTTCGATCCTGGAATTTGGTGCAGTGGTTTGGTTCTCATATCAAGCCGTATGGATTGCTAGGATTGCACATAAACGAATTCAGATTTGAACCATCGCGTAAAATCTACTCTCGTTTTATTTTGAGCTACAGATGGCATAAATAACAAAATCGTTTACAAGTTTATTAACAACACTGCTGATTTATGTCCAGGGGTTTTGGCATAATTTAAAATGTATACAGCTGAACAAGTTCTTCGATCGAGGAGTTTCCTGCATCTTGGATCCCGTGCTGTAAACTACACAGAAAAAAATTCTGAATTTTAACTGTCGCGTAAAATCTCCTTTCGTTTAATGTTGAGCTATACTTGGCATAAACAGTGAAATCGTTTACAAGCTTGCATACAATATTGCAAATTTATGCGAAATTGCGCTTAAATTAACAAGAAATATCACGTAAATTTATGTCAAATCTAGCGTTAATTTTATGTGCGCTATATCTCGCAGAAATTTACATGATTTTTTAAAACGGAGTATTATTAACATGATTCAATACAGCGGCGCCGGTGGTGTAGTGGTAAGTGTGATTATCTCTCACCTCAGCAGGCATGGGTTCAATCCCAGTCGGCGCCGCCGGGATGTTCTGAGGCATAACATCTCTGATCACGCCTTCCTTCGGAAGGGAAGTAAAGCCGATGGTTCCCGG